CCCGCTCCATAAGAGACAGACGTGCTGTAGATCCAGGATTCAGACTGTAGAACGAGGACCAAGGCCTTGTTATAACTGACGTGTAGTTGTCGCTAATATCTGTCCAAACTCAGGTCCGCCATGTTATTTAATGTGGCCATTGAGGAACTCTCCCAGTCGTATCCAGCCAACTTCAGCTCCACCAAGCCACAGATGCTTTAATGTTCGCTCCTTGAAGAACTCAAACGTAAATGTAAATTAGTTTTTATTTTAAACCCTTTTTTTATCATAGGCCTCAAAGATACAGTTTGATGGTCAAAGTTATAAATACAGATTTGATTGTTCCTAAAACCATATGAGATGCCCCAAAGAGATAAGATAAGACTGACTTTATTAATCTCACACTGGAGAAATGTGCATGTCACTGTGGCACGGACAGAACACTCAGATTACACACTTCTGCCTTTCGCACAAACATGTTAAAGGCCAAACATAAAGTCTGTTCAGGGTATATTATGTTCAGTAAACATTAATTCATTGTCAATTAAACAAACAGTGGCAATAGCAGTGTGCATGACTTAAAGCGACTTATTGTACAGTCTGACAGTGGTGGGAATGAAGGTTCAAGGCTTCAAGAAAACAGTATTTTGTTCCCATGTTTTCTCTCCTTATCTTCTTGAAATGTTGCTGTTTATCAAATACATACTGTTTGTTAAACCTGAAGTAGCTTTCACAGAACATATCAAACACCTCCACTACGAGAATATGGCAGGGGTCAACCTTTCTTCTTCCCTCTCTACAAGGATGAAGAGTTAAATATCTATGTAGTTATGTACTGCATGTATGTTTAAGGTCTGTATTTGACAAGTTCAACCACTGAATCCTGCATGAACTGGAAATATATACATACATGAAGAATTAAATGAAACCTCTGGGTCGGGAGCAACCAGTAGCTCGCAAGCCCCTTTCCGATCGCTCCCCAAAGGATTCCAGAATTTAACACATGATTATGAATAGATACATTGAGTAAATACATGTCTATTACAACTATAAATATAGAGTTATGCAGAACGTAAATATAACAAACAGTAACATAACAATTTGGTCCCCTCAGAGAAAAGAATGGCCCCTGGTGTAGAGCTAAAAACCACTTCAGGAGAATGGAACCAGAGATGCATTGCACAATCCAAAATCAATCTTTCACCACAAAAGATTGATTTTGGATTGTGCATTATGCGTCACATCAATGTATAGCCTCACATCTTGCTTTGATGGGACATAATAATGAAACCCATATACACAACCACAGGCAGTGCAGTCGCCACGTTCTCACCAGAGACCCTCTTCATATCTGGCCCAGTTTTCTTCTTCTTCATGACAGAATTAGCCTATGGCGCAGTCAATGGCTGTTCTGAGGAAAGGAATCCCACCTGAACCGGCTTTTCCCATTCAAAGGCAAAGGCTAAGCACAGCGGAGCAATCGTGATCATACGTATCCGTGCTCCCTCATAAAACCATGCGCTGTATTCATCTGAAAACCAACCCCACACACACACACACACACACACACACACTGTAGAATGTGTACCCTTTTTATTAAACCATCCTTCTATCCTCTGCTGAAGACACGCTTTGTTGTGATTTCAGATATTCCGTTTCTGCTGCGTCAAGCAAAGGCAATCCCTCGCTGCTTATAAAGGATGGGATTTAAAGGCTGTTTCCATATTGTTGTCGGCACTTTGCACTGAGGCGATATGTCGGAGAGAATACAGACGTCTCCTAATGTCAGTGACAGCAGGTCTGTAACCGGCAGCAGAGATGGCTTCAACTGTGAGAGAGTTATTTTATGCTGCTTGTGATGTCACATTAAAGTTAACTGCATTTGTCACTATATTGTTTCTTTCTCTCTCCTGTGAAGTTGTTTGGGAAATGCTCTGCCGCTTAAATGCAACTTCTTCAACTCAAAAATCGTATGTGATCAGACAAAAGGTGGAGTAGAGATGAAGGAATACTCAATTCAATAACAGAAATGAAAGGTAAATTGGAGGATTTTCTACTTCCGAGTGGATCATCAAGACAATTCGTCCTCCCACATGTCAATCAAATTTTAGGCAACAACCGCCCTCTCTACTTTTTGAACAAAACTAAGAGAGATTGGTTCAAAAAGTAGAGAGGGCTGTTCTTTCCTAAAATGTTGGGAAAATCCGTCCTCTATACATTTATTACAACTGCAGATTGATGTCTGCTGTCGTTGTGTCCTTGGGCAAGACACTTAACTCCACTTTGCCTGAAGCCCAAGATTGAGGCCCCTGTGGACTCACCATCTGCAGGAGGATCGGTGAAGGGCTGGTGCTTTGTGAATTGTGTGCAGCTCTGACTGACTTCCAACCCTCGACCCAGAAATGGATTAAGGGGAAGAAAATGGATGGATGGACAAATGCAGCTGAAGCAGAACTTCAGACTGGCAGACTACGAACACACGTCATCGCACCAGGCTGGCCACTTCCTTCCTCAGCCAATCACATCAGCTTCGTCAACTCCCCTGACAGCCTTTCAAGCTTCAACCACTTCCTCCCCGCCTCCGCCTTGGGATTTTGTCGCACGCTCGCATCCACCTTGCCCAGTTTAGGCCCCGGGGATCATAATCCTCACAGAGCAGGGCCACAGACTGATAAACTACAAACAAACTTGCAATCAATAAATCTCTTCAATGCATCTTGTAGTCTCTCCAGATTTAATAACAAATGGGGAAATGCTTGAGGGAAGTCAGGTCACTGTATAGAAACTCAACTCTGCTACTTGAATGGAACATACTGTATATCTTGGCACAATGCAGTGTTTGTCTATATACTTTGGGATGACGGAGGGTAAAATGTCTGGTTTACTGTCAGGAAGATGTGAATGTATGGAAATGGAAATATTTCTGCTTTCAAAAACAACATTTGGATATACTGTACACATGCCAAGTGCAAAGTCCAATTCCAACCTATGTGGCATATACTGTACATAGCGAGGCATTCCCAACAGTAATTGGAAGACAAAAGTTGTGTTTTGACGTTTGGCGTAGTGCAACAATCCTGAAAAAGAGCTTCAAGACAAACAGGACATTCTACAAGATGTAATTGATTGAGAAGAGATAGATAGATAGATACTTTATTGATCCCTGTCGGAGAAATGCAGGTGTCCAGTAGCGGCAAAAATCTAAAAGAAAAATTGATAATTCCAAAACGCTAACAATAGTAATAATCAGCAACAGCCCTTCAGGTCACAGCAGCAGAGGTGGAGCAGCCTCTGGAGCAGGACGGGTCACAAGGAGGTGAAGCTGCTCGGTTCAGACCATTTTCTCTGCTCTGGTCCAAAGTAAAACGCTTCATTCCATGCTTCACTTTTCAAAAAGTTAGCATTCCTCCAGTGGATTTTTATCTGCATGATCCACTTGGTTCGGACCATGAATCCTCTCTGCTCTGGTCTGGCCCAGTGTAAAACCATGAATCCTCTCTGCTCTGGTCTGGACCAGTGGAAAACCATGAATCCTCTCTGCTCTGGTCTGGACCAGTGTAAAACCATGAACACTGAACTGCAGCAACATCTCAGGCAGAAAAAAGCAAGAAAAATCACAATTGTAAAACACAAAACAACTGTTTCAGAGACTCTTAGGACTTGCTGCCGTTTTCCAGCGCAGTCAAAAGTTAACAAAATCATTTTGATAGAAATGTATCCAAAAAAATTTTTTAAATTAAAGAGTTTTGTAAAGTGGGGAAAAGATCAAAAAGAAGCTTCTTAACGCGTCTTTGAAAGTGCTGTAAAACAGAATGAGACGTTGTCTTGACAGTGACACATGTGTTCTGGAGCCTCATCCATTATTCATCCTTATTTAGTCACATGTCGATCTGCAAATGCTTCCATTCATTATGCATACAGTTCATACATGTTCACCATTTCAACAATTTGTTTTCCAATCAGACAGAACCAACACGGCTGCTCAGTCTGAGAAGAGCAGCTTCCACTGGCTCCGACACAGCTCTGTGTTTGAGCTGGAAGAAGAAGAAGCATGCATGTGGACAATAGTGATCGGAGCAAACTGTTTTGAAAGCAACAAATACTACCATCTTAAAAAGTCATTCAAATAATGAATTATCTCAGTGCATTATGATCAGTGAAGAAATACAGGCCTCGGACCTGCGATTGGATTATTAGTGTAGGTTATTTTGTCTTACACAGTGGCTGATAAACATATACTGAGGCCTCTGATATGAATAATGATAATGATTATTATTATGTATCGGTATTTTTTTTTAAAATCGCTTCAAATGCATAGACTGTAAGTCACATGTCTGTCCCTACATATTGATGATAAACTACTGCAGCCACAGCTGCCCTGGGGCACACTGAGAGAAGCAGGCATCTGCCATCGGCCCCTCCCCCCAACAACCATTCACCAGACTCTTTCTTTGCACTCGTTCAGTTTTCAATTCAATTCAATTTACTTTTCTACAGCCCTAAATCACATCAGTACCCGAGGACTGTACAAAGTCGTCGATTCGCCGACACAGATCAGAGAATCCAAAACTTCAAATACACAAACACATAGAGCCATTTGTCTATAAAGGACTGAGACCAATGTCCTCTAGGCCGGCCTGTTCACGAACACACAGAGAGGCGTGAGAGGTCTTTAAAACAAAGGTTTACTGCACCTTCTTTCATACAGTTCGCACCGTAATCTAGTAAAACACAAAATAGTACAACTCAGATATATATGAATATGAATCAACACACAGTCATACACACCACTGTGGCCTTTTGGCGAACAACCCGCTGGACTCTAACTTATAATATATTATTATAATATCTCTACTCTGCTTAGTCGGGTCTGTCTTGTCTCTCACTTGTTCAACTAAAAACCCATCCTCACTAGTGTCTCCCATCCTCACAGCTGTTTCCCATCTCATAGACGCAGCATTTTCGCTCTGGCTAAAATATCTAGAACATTAGTTTCTGGCGTGAGTTGCATCTTACTGGATTCACACTTTGAGCAGAAGAAACAGAGCCGTAAACAGCATCTGGCCACACGGCGCCCGCACACCAGAAACGACCGAGAAAGGAGCTCTCTGATGCGGGTTCTGTGTTTCATACGGGGCATCGGACTGTACGGCTGCGGACCGGGGCTGCGGACCGGGGCTGCGGACCGGGGCTGCGGACCGGGGCTGCGGACCGGGGCTGCGGACCGGGGCTGCGGACCGGGGCTGCGGACCGGGGCTGCGTGACGGAATCTGCGAGTCCCAGATGTTAATGCAAAGGATATGAGCGGTGATGAAGACAATGGGACGAGAGCAGACCCGCAGAAGAAACCCTTTAGAGCAGGTTGTGAAACTCAAGTTGTAGCATGGATGAATGATAGCGCTAAGAGATTCCTTTAAACCCATGGAAACAAATGTAGCCTTTTAGTTGAAGCCACATAGAGAACAATGACGATGGAACACTGTTTTGTTTTCATTAGCTGAGTTTTATATTTCAATTATTGCATGTGTTCGAAGGTGTGCAGACCCAGCTAGAGACAATGTTGCACAAACAGTTAAATTATGAATGATTCCACGCATTGTTGTGTGGAGCCGTGCATTGTCAAACAGATGTTCTATTTTCAAGTTATGACATCATTGAGCTGCCACAGAGAGAGCAGCTGAGGAAGTTACAGGAACTGGAGGCTTTGTGCCAAAATGAATGAACATATTTACCATCAAAGGATGAAGAAGCTCATCCCATAAATGGCTTCACTGAATCACTACGAATGAAAAAAGTGCTGGCATTTTCATTCATAACGTTGTCCAAATTGCGACCAAACCAGTGAACATTTCTGTAATTTTCGGACTTAACTTTCAGTCCTGTTTTCCTCCTCTCTCTCTGATCTGTGACCTGTCTTTTGCTGCTCTCTGATTGGTTGACAGCCGAAAAGCAGTTTTCACCAACCTATTACCTCAACATTACTGATATCGCTCCATAGACTCATTTTCCAAAAGTAAACTGAAAAATATGTACATTATCAATTTCTTTCAGTCTCTAAAAAGAATAGCTTTATGTCATTTTAGTCCCAAAAGCATCTAACGGGGAGGACAAAAGAGCAGTGTCCTGGAATTAATAATAATAATACAAAAATGGGCGACAGTAGCTCAGTTGGTAGAGCATTGGCCTTAAGGCCAGAAGGTCATGGGTTCAATTCCCACCTCTGCACCTTCTCCACCGACTCCCACTGATCACTGCTGTCGTTGTGTCCTTGGGCAAGACACTTAACCCCACTTTGCCCAAAGCCCCCGCAGAAAGATCAAGGCTATGCTCACACTCAGAGAGCAGCCGTCCTCCTGTGGACTCACCACCTGCAGAGGGTCAGTGAGGGGCTGGTGCTATGAGACTTGGGTGGCATCTCTGACTGCCACCCCCCTGACCCAGAAATGGATTAAAGGGTAGAAAATGGATGGATGGATGAATACAAAAATGGTTTTATACAGTGCTGTTCAGGACACTCAAAGACCCTTCGCATGTCATTATTATATCACTCCGTACATGCTGGTGATAAACTACTACTACAGCTGCCCTGGGGCACACTGACAGAAGCGAGGCAACCAGTCTGTGCCATCGGCCCCTCCCACCACCACCAACCATTCACACACACACCAGACTCATTCTAGGCAATGGGGGTCTTGGCACTTTACAGCCGCAGCCGCCCCACTGTGGCTCCTGGTGTTCCCAGAGGTCTCCCATCACAGCACTAACCAGGACCTGCCCTGTACAGCTTCAGAGTTATGACGAAGTCTGGCTTTCACATTCAAGTATGGCCACAAATTGGCTCATAGATCAAGATAGCAAAATCAATATTAAAACAAACAAATTAGTATAATGAACAGTGCACAGCTTTACATAACATCACTTAAGAATCAATTCAAGATAAATATAAATACATACTTTTCTAGAATCATGTTCACAACTTGAAAAATCTGTCCGTCAAACACACTTCACACCAGTCCAACGTTAGCAACACGACTAACTCCCAGAGAACGTCTTTCTCAATCGGCCGAGATAGAACCGGGAACAGCTCCTTACCTTCTTGAGGATGATGATGCCCTCCTGGTTGTGTTCGTTGGTGGTGATGTCGAAAATGGCTCCCCCGTCTCCTGGTACGATGGTGTATTCCACTTCAGCGTTCCTGCCGATGTCCAAGTCGTGGGCTTTGATCCTGCCCACCGCCGAGCCCACCGTGGAAGATTCGGGGACGCGGAGGTGGAAGAAACCTGAGTCAAAAACACATGTTGGTTGGTCAGTGCGACATGGACTAATGTAGATGGATACTTTAGTGATCCCCGTGGGATACATTCAGGTTTCCAGTAGCAGCAAAAACACATCCATCCAAACAAACAAGACTAATAAATAGATCATTCTAAAAAGCTAATAATAGTAAAATGCAGCACTTTAGGACACAGCAGCAAAGGTGGAGCAGCTGCTTGGTTCAAACCATTTTCTCTGCTCTGGTCCAAAGTAAAACGCTGAAGAGTTATCATTCCTCCAGTGGATTTTCACCTGATCCTCTTGGTTTGGACCATGAATCCTCTCTGCTCTGGTCTGGACCAGTGTAAAACCATGAATCCTCTCTGCTCTGGTCTGGACCAGTGTAAAACCATGAATCCTCTCTGCTCTGGTCTGGACCAGTGTAAAACCATGAATCCTCTCTGCTCTGGTCTGGACCAGTGTAAAACCATGAATCCTCTCTGCTCTGCTCTGGACCAGTGTAAAACCATGAATCCTCTCTGCTCTGGTCTGGACCAGTGTAAAACCATAAATCCTCTCTGCTCTGGTCTGGACCAGTGTAAAACCATGAATCCTCTCTCCTCTGGTCTGGACCAGTGTAAAACCATGAATCCTCTCTGCTCTGGTCTGGACCAGTGTAAAACCATGAATCCTCTCTGCTCTGGTCTGGACCAGTGTAAAACCATGAATCCTCTCTGCTCTGGTCTGGACCAGTGTAAAACCATGAATCCTCTCTGCTCTGGTTTGGACCAGTGTAAAACCATGAACACTGAACTGCAGCAACATCTCAGGTAGAAAAAAACAAGAAAAATAACTTTTATAAACCACAAAACAACAACAGCGCTTTCAAAAGATGTGAAGCTCTTGATTCAGATTTCAACCCTCTTCCTTTGTCGATATGCTCGGAGTAGTTTGCATGTGGTGTCCCTTGAGTTTTTGAGTTCATTAGTTGGATTGAAAAATGGTGGCCTTCTTTAGATTTAACATTTGAAAGTCTGGCACTGAATCTGTCTCTTCACCGAGTAAGTAATCTAGTGATATTTACACATCACATTTTAAGGACCAAGGTGACACAAAGCACCGGACAATGTTGGTGTATTTTCCAACGTTCTTCCGCTGATCTACACTCCAAACTTTTCAACCATCACCAACCATTCCTTTCCTAAACCAGCACAGACATGGGGAGAACATACAAACTCCACCAAGGCCTTTGTTTTGACCATTTCATTTAACCAGAAATGTCAGAATCTCTTTTTCAGGGATCCATGGGAGCCGGGTCGGGGAGGACGATATGAGGGACTAACGTACATGTTTTTATGCCGCAAAACATAGGGCAAACACAGGGAGAATATGCAAACTCCACAGAGAAAGGCCCAGTCTGGAGGTGGAATCAAACCCAATACCTTCTTGCCGTAAAGCTTGTGCGCCAACTTCTTCACCGTGTACCGCCCCAAAGGAACACAATTTAATCATCTCTACATGTTCATCCTCTGCCTCTCTCCTTAGAGATCGAATATTTCATCTTTTTGCGGCCTCAAGACAAAGAAAATAAGTCTCAGACGCGAAAACATATTCTGGCATTAACAGTGTTTGCCCTCGATCCATTTGACACACAATGAAAGTTTTACTGAACTTTTGTAGAATGTGTTTTGTTTAAAAAATGACAAACAGCTGCATCTAACTTTTACTTATACAAAACAGATTTACACATAACAACTTTGCCAACTTCAACTAAGAAAGAGGCAGCAGCAGTCTCCTCGGCACATCACGTTCTCCTAAGCTTGTTTGGTTTATATCAAATTAACGGGCAATGTACATATGCTCAGAAATAACGAAAGCAAGAAAATATGTATAAATGTATATGTTCTTCAAATACATATGTTCAGACACTGTTTATTCTCTGAACATGTTTGGTGTTGGGTTGAAATGCACACATCCAGTTGAATCCAGAGTAAAAATCTAAATGTTCGGCTGCTAGCTACAAAGATTGCCAACCGATGATTAAGATCTATCAGATTAATTTGACTGGTTTTCCATATGGGGGAGGTTTTGAATTACTGCAGCGTGACGCACAGATGAAAACTACTTTGATTTTTTTACTCTTCGCAGATATGAGAATCCCACGACTGCGTATATGTAACTACAGTATTTTCATTGCCATGCTGGGATTCATTCCAAGGAAAGAAAACGGCTTCAGTGATTCTATCTACATGGAATACAACGCTCATTCCATCAAGAAACCGTTCACCGCTCCACGTACACACCCTGGGAATCCAACCCAAGACCCTGTAGTGGAGAGGAAACAGAATGATCCTTTTCGCCACCATTTCCATTCTGTTATCGCTGCATATCACATGGACGTGTTTTGCTTTTGCCAGGGGCCAGGACTGATCTGCTTTGCATGGGCGCGCGTGTGAAGTCGGCCCGTGACATTTGTCGGTTTGGAGGTGTGTGGACTTCAAGGGGGCTGCGGCGCTTGTAATTGGACCGTTCAGAAGTAAAGATCAACAAACGCAGAAGTACGCTTTGATAGACCCCAAAGAGAGCGAGGAGAGCACAGCCACAGTAGGGCAGCTGCAAGAACGCAGAAGATTTATGAATGGTAAGTAGAAGCAGGTCTAGAAATGTTTTTAGTTTAGAGGGCGCCACTGAGCACAAGCCATTGGTTTGAATGGGCCGCCATCTTTGATCGCTGGGGCTTGACAATAACATATAAAAATAAATATGTGCCACGTCTTAAACAGGTTGGAAAAGACTAAAACACATCCGTGCAGAATCACCGGGAGTTAGCGTTGTCTGAAGCGTAGATGGCGTCTCCAGGTGGCACAACGAGCCGGATGTCGCAATTGTCATAACGTACCAGGTTTAGATGTGAGCGTTTAGACACAGGGCAGAGGGTTGTGTGTGTGTGTGTGTTTGTACAAGCATCTCCAAGGGGAACAAAACCACAAACAAGACGATTTTGTGACCGTGTTAATTTCAATTCAATGTATTATTGTATAGCCTTAAATCATCTCAGAGGACTTAAAGTAGCAATATTTTCATGTCAGCTCATCATTAAAGGGCCCTCAACTGTCATAATGCATTAATAAAACATGATCTTTTCCAATACGTCTTTAACTGATAACAGTAGTTCAGGGATATTTGAATTTCTAAATGCCATGATCTGGGATGCCAGACCTAATCTCACTGCTAAAGTAGAACTAAAAAAGGTCTCGTTATGATTCTCAAATAATTTCTGACAAAACAGGATTTCTATCTTTGTGAAAAAGGTGTTGGTTATAGATTTGTTGTTGACAAAACTCTTGTCTATTCAGCTGTTATGGTCCCAGCTGGATTCGTCTGCATATCTTACTTACTTTACTGTAAATGTGTACTACAGTAAATTTGTAAATATTCACAGATATGTATATTCCTGAGTACTTATATCCAGATTATTATATTCTCACATATAAAATGTTATTATTATTCTTATGAAACACTATGCAAGCTACTGTGGCAATTTACCTTGTGGATCAATAAAGTCGGTCTAAGTCTCAGTCTAAGTCTATCAGTCAGAGAGAGTGCAATACCACATTTGAACAGATATTTACATACTGCCCCTTTAAGAAAACCAACAACACACAGCGCCATTGGTCCAATAGGGGCAGAGACCATTATCCATAAATGTTGATAAATGTCCATATGTGCTCCATACAGTACATAGTTATTGTATGGAACACGTAGGTAGTTAAAAAATATTGCTGCATACATACGGTTAACTCTCCACCCATAACTAACTAACATGATTGTATAGATATTTCTATTTACAAACTGTATATTCCAGGCGAAGAAAAACAGTTCCCAACAGAACCAAAATGTTATGCCTCTGAATGTATCATGCCAATCTTTCCACCTTATTGTACAGAAGCGTTGCCAGAACAGGGCAAACCCAGCATTAGCACTGCCTGCCTTGTGATACATCATGTCGTAGAAAACATGACTTTGAGTTATGATAAATATGCGCTGATCTGTCTGGTTAGATACAGAAGATTATCCACATCACACCACTGGGGCCATGTTTCTGATGGAATAGAGTTGGAAAGTCGCAAAATGAACAAACTGGGAATGTTTCTGATGATGTGAAAGGATATTGAGACTAAGTACTTGTCACACTGAGGACTTTTGCAAATGTATTCAAATCAAATGTGGTTTTTCTGAAAATGGTGTTGTAGATTTTAAATACAGCAGACGCCAATACAAGAACACACTTCTATTGCCTGTCATCCATGTACCAACATCTATGAAAACATGAAGATCTATATTTAATCATAAAGTGTTTCCATAAAAGAAGGAGCTCAGAGAGTTTTGAATTAGTATTAAATGAAATACTAATACAAAACTCTCTGAGCTCCTTTTAGCTCATCTATCCCTATGAACTGAGCCAAATGAACTGTCCGCCCAGGCCTGGAAACTGAGAGGACTCCAAGGTCCTCTGTGAAGTCCTCTCTCTGTCTATAGCTCAGACTGACTAACTACAGTATGTTGCTCAAAACAGTTTCATGAAAATGTGTAGAAGGGGAAGGCCCACCAAAGACGTCATTTTGCTTCATATATGGTAAAACCGGAAAGCTTGGTCTGGGTCTGGGTTTTGTCTGGGTCTGGTCTGGGTCTGGTCTGGGTTTGGTCTGGGCCTTGTCTGGGCCTTGTCTGGGTCTTGTCTGGGTCTGGGTCTTGTCTCTGGGTCTTGTGTCTGGGTCTTGTCTGGGTCTGGGCTGGGTCTGGTCTGGGTCTGGGTCTGGGCCTGGGTCTTTTCTGGGGCTGGTCAGGGTCTGGTCTGGGTCTGGTCTGGGTCTGGTCTGGGTCTGGTCTGGGTCTGGTCTGGGTCTGGTCTGGGTCTGGGTCTGGGCCTGGGTCTTTTCTGGGGCTGGTCAGGGTCTGGTCTGGGTCTGGTCTGGGTCTGGTCTGGGTCTGGTCTGGGTCTGGTCTGGGTCTGGTCTGTGTCTGGTCTGGTTCGGTCTCCTGTCCATGGAGATAATGGAAACTCCCTCTCTGAAAAGAACACTTGAAGGGGATCCATTTTTTTTCTCTAAACTCCTCAGGCTGGTATGAAAACACATCATCTACAAACACTTTTATGGCAACACTTTATGATTAAACATAGAATTTAATCAAATCATTCTTGTGTGCGTGCATTTGTGTGCGTGCATTTGTGTGTGTGCATTTGTGTGCATGTACTGTATCTCTGTACATGTATCTGTGCATGTGTCTGTGCATGTGTCTGTGCATGTGTCTGTGCATGTGTCTGTGCATGTGTCTGTGCATGTGTCTGTGCATGTATCTGTGCATGTGTCTGTGCATGTGTCTGTGCATGTGTCTGTGCATGTATCTGTGCATGTGTCTGTGCATGTGTCTGTGCATGTGTCTGTGCATGTGTCTGTGCATGTATCTGTGCATGTGTCTGTGCATGTGTCTGTGCATGTGTCTGTGCATGTGTCTGTGCATGAATTTGTGTGCATGTATCTGTGCATGTATCTCTGCATGTGTCTGTGCATGTGTCTGTGCATGTATCTCTGCATGTGTCTGTGCATGTGTCTGTGCATGTATCTGTGCATGTATCTGTGCATGTATTTGTGTGCATGTATCTGTGCATGTGTCTGTGCATGTATCTGTGTGCATGTGTCTGTGCATGTGTCTGTGCATGTGTCTGTGCATGTGTCTGTGCATGTATCTGTGCATGTGTCTGTGCATGTGTCTGTGCATGTGTCTGTGCATGTGTCTGTGCATGTATCTGTGCATGTGTCTGTGCATGTGTCTGTGCATGTGTCTGTGCATGTGTCTGTGCATGAATTTGTGTGCATGTATCTGTGCATGTATCTCTGCATGTGTCTGTGCATGTGTCTGTGCATGTATCTCTGCATGTGTCTGTGCATGTGTCTGTGCATGTATCTGTGCATGTATCTGTGCATGTATTTGTGTGCATGTATCTGTGCATGTGGCTGTGCATGTATCTGTGTGCATGTGTCTGTGCATGTGTCTGTGCATGTGTCTGTGTGCATGTGTCTGTGCATGTATCTGTGCATGTATCTGTGCATGTATCTGTGCATGTATCTGTGCATGTGTCTGTGCATGTATCTGTGCATGTATCTGTGCATGTGTCTGTGCATGTGTCTGTGCATGTATCTGTGCATGTGTCTGTGCATGTGTCTGTGCATGTGTCTGTGCATGTGTCTGTGCATGTATTTGTGCATGTATTTTTGCATGTATCTGTGCATGTATCTGTGCATGTATCTCTGTGCATGTGTCTGTGCATGTGTCTGTGCATGTGTCTGTGCATGTGTCTGTGCATGTATCTGTGCATGTATCTGTGCATGTATCTGTGCATGTGTCTGTGCATGTATCTGTGCATGTATCTGTGCATGTGTCTGTGCATGTATCTGTGCATGTATCTGTGCATGTGTCTGTGCATGTGTCTGTGCATGTGTCTGTGCATGTATCTGTGCATGTGTCTGTGCATGTGTCTGTGCATGTGTCTGTGCATGTGTCTGTGCATGTATTTGTGCATGTATTTTGCATGTATCTGTGCATGTATCTGTGCATGTATCTCTGTGCATGTGTCTGTGCATGTATCTCTGTGCATGTGTCTGTGCATGTATCTCTGTGCATGTGTCTGTGCATGTGTCTGTGCATGTATTTGTGTGCATGTATCTGTGCATCTATCTGTGTGCATGTGTCTGTGCATGTGTCTGTGTGCATGTGTCTGTGCATGTATCTGTGTGCATGTGTCTGTGCATGTGTCTGTGCATGTATCTGTGTGCATGTGTTTGTGTGCATGTATCTGTGCATGTATCTGTGTGCATGTGTTCGTGTGCATGTATCTGTGCATGTATTTGTGTGCATGTATTTGTGCATGTGTCTGTGCATGTATCTGTGTGCGGAGCATTTGTGTGCATGCATTTGTGTGCGTGTATTCGTGTGCATGTATTTGTGGCTTCTGTGACATCTCTAGACCAGGAGAGGACCAGTAGTCACTCAGCCAATCAGCGCCCGTATCAGCAGCTTATGCAACAGATAAAACATTTTCTAATGAAGCAGCATGTTGTGGTCGGATGTATTCAAACTGTCACTCAAACAACACTGGCATATATGAAATCCCCCCCGAAAGTTGTGTACCCCAGCTTTATTAGACCAACGCAACTGATCAATGATGCTGTGAATTCTATCAGAAAGTCCTTGGTTCAGTGACATCTTTGTTAGTTCTGACTCTGGGCACGAGCAGGAGTTCTGAGAATTTGAGAAATCTGTGTTTAAATCCAGTTTAAGGTTTAGCCGTGCAGACAACAGAGGGATTTTA